ATAAAGACTTGTTGCATATTAGATTAACCTTCAATAAAGTGAATACCTACATTACTTATGCAAACGAAAAATTACCGTGTCTTTATTGAATATTACTATCGAGTGTTTACTGTAGTTATTTACTTATAAGTGGAATAACGCAAAATAGTGTTAGAAGCTCAGCTATTGAATTTTTGTGGTGGTATTAATAAGTAATATTGTCATGAAACAGTCACATTGAAATTGTCAATTGTTTTACTGTATGACTTTAAATTTAAAGTGTTCCATTTTGGATTTATTTAGATTATGTTCTTTGTTTACATTTTGATATTTTTGCAATTTTAGTATATTCTCAACGATATTTTCTGTGTTTTCTTGACTATTTCTTAATTATAGTTCGTGTTTTTCTAATTCATTAAAGTTTGAAGGTTGTCTTTTTATAAACGATCATTCTTTTTTGGAATTATTAAGGTTCGTTTTATAATATAGCACATTTCTTTAAACCAAATTTCCTTTCACGAACCCGTTTTTAACTGATGACACAAACTTAACAAAATGAACCATTTGGTACAGATTTTCATTGTACCATAGCCCGACCAGGTGAAAGAAAAAGAGACGCCACGACCAGGTGTTCGGAGAAATTGAGCCTTTTTGAAAGAAATTCAGCTGAAATAGTACAAGACACTCTCTCTGCTTTCGTTATTGTTGTACCTAGTTGCGAGTACCTGCCCCGCGATACGCCTTCCAGAGCAAGCGGGTGAAAGTAGGGATGAAACGGTGTTTACTTCGATATCAAGTACTTATGGTATCGATACTTTTAGACCAGGTAATTTATAAAGTCTCTTGATAACCAAAGTTCGAGGTTAGTGGGCGTATGAATTGCTTGTGTTGTTGTGTGTGTGTTGCTGTGTTGTTGTTGCTGTATTGTGTTGTTGTGTGTAACTTTATGCGACAGTCCTTAGTGGTGTTATCAAGATGAACGGCGATTCGACTAGCTACGAATACATGGATTTCGATTGTAATATCAGCTGGGTTGAAGATCAAACCAACAATGAAGAACCTGGACCGTCTGATTGCAAATAAAATAATTAATAGATATTAAGTCCACGGATATTTGTTTCCGTGGACTTCCAACAAATATTCATAGAACAGAAAGTTCACTTGGCTTTTGTAGATCTTAATAAGGCCTAAGATACAATACCCCGTCAAAAATTGTGGAAGGCTCTCGAACGGCTATATGTCGATCTAGTAAAAATAATTAAAGAACTGTATAATAATATCTCACTCATAAAAGTAGGATATCGACTGACTGAACCTATAATAACCAAAAAGGGTCTTAGACAGGGTTGGAGCCTCTCCCTTTTACTGTTAGGATATCGACTGTCTGAACCTATAATAACCAAAAAGGGTCTTAGACAGGGTTGCAGCCTCTCCCTTTTACTGTTCAATACCTATGTAGAAGTCGCGCTGGAAGAATGGAAAAGACAATGTGAGCCTATGTGCATTCCTATAGGCACTAAAAATTATTTGTAAATTTTGCGGCAACCAGGTGGTGCTTGCGCAAGATGCTTTTCACCTTGAATATATGATGAGAAGACTCTAAATACAATATGAGAAGTGGGTTCTACAAGTAGTCTTAAAAAACAGAATATCTAGTAGCCAATAGTGAAGCGGCCTTTGAAGTTCTGATTACGGATGAAACTCGGGTCACACAGGTCGACAACTTTAAATATTTAGGGTCAATCGTAACTAAACAGCACACTGGAGAGAACGAGATTAAACTCCACATTCAAACTGGCAAAAGAATGGGGGGATATTTGAATTCATTATGGTGGGATTAGTATCTCTTTCTTGGAAAACAAAAAGAAAGGCTGGGACAAATATTGGTTGAATCTGTGGTGTGCTATGGTTGTGAAGTATGAGCTCTAACAGCTGAAATAAAACGGAGACTTGTAGCAGTCGAAATGGACTATCTCAGAAGGATCTCAGAGATCAGACATCGAATGAATGCTCCAGAGGCAATTAGAAATAGAGTAAAATCAGAGGTCTGAAGTGGTTTGGCCATCTATTAAGAATGCCGGAAGATCGATGGCCAAAACGCCTCTTTCAAAAATACTTCAAAAAGTTTAGCCGAATAATTTATCCTACTTTTAAACTCGTGTAAACCAAAGTCTGATATTTCCAACACCCAACGGCTATCAATTAAACAGTTGCTTGATCTCAAATTTTCGTGTGATATAATTTCACTATCGTGCAAATAAATCATTCCCTATAAGTATAAAAATAATAATGTAATATACGATTTTATATTTGAAGAATATTGAACATGAAAAAAATATCTTGTTTACTTTTTAAAAACTTTTTCAGTTTGACTTGGTCGATAGTTGCTTGTGCTGTTGTGTGTGTGTTGCTGTGTTGTTGTTGCTGTATTGTGTTGTTATGTGTAACTTTGTGCGACAGTGCTTAGTGGTGTTATCAAGATGAACGGCGATTCGACTAGCTACGACTACATGGATTTCGATTGTAATATCAGCTGGGTTAAAGATCAAACCAACAATGAAGAACCTGGACCGTCCGGATTGCAAAATAAAATAATTAATAGATATTAAGTCCACGGATATTTGTTTCCGTGGACTTCCAACAAATATTCATAGAACAGAAAGTTCACTTGGTTTTTGTAGATCTTAAAAAGGCCTAAGATACAATACCCCGTCAAAAATTGTGGAAGGCTCTCGAACGGCTATATGTCGATCTAGTAAAGAAAAGAACTGTATAATAACAATATCTCACTCATAAAAGTAGGATATCGACTCTCTGAACCTATAATAACAAAAAGGTCTTAGACAGGGTTGCAGCCTCTCCCTTTTACTGTTCAATACCTATGTAGAAGTCGCGCTAGAAGAATGGAAAAGACAATGTGAGTCTATGGGCATTCCTATAGGTGCACAAAAATTATTTACATTAAATTTTGCTGGCGACCAGGTGGTGCTTGCGCAGGATGCTTTTCACCTTGAATATATGATGAGAAGACTCTAAATACAATATGAGAAGTGGGTTCTACAATTAGTCTTAAAAAACAGAATATCGAGTAGCCAATAGTGAAGCGGCCTTTGAAGTTCTGATTACGGATGAAACTCAGGTCACACAGGTCAACAACTTTAAATATTTAGGGTCAATCGTAACTAAACAGCACACTGGAGAGAACGAGATTAAACTCCACATTCAAACTGGCAAAAGAATGGGGGGATGTTTGAATTCATTATGGTGGGATTAGTATCTCTTTCTTAGAACCAAAAAAAAAAGGCTGGGACAAATATTGGTTGAATCTGTAGTGTGCTATGTTTGTGAAGTATGGGCTCTAACAGCTGAAATGAAACGGAGACTTGCAGCAGTCGAAATGGACTATCTCAAAAGGAACTCAGAGATCAGACATCGAATGAATGCTCCAGAGGCAATTATAGATAGAGTAAAATCAGAGGTCTGAAGTGGTTTGGCCATCTATTAAGAATGCCAGAAGATCGATGGCCAAAACGCCTCTTTCAAAAATACTTCAAAAAGTTTAGCCGAATAATTTTTCCTACTTTTAAACTCGTGTAAACCAAAGTCTGATATTTCCAACACCCAACGGCTATCAATTAAACATCTGCTTGATCTCAAATTTCCGTGGGATATAATTTCACTGTCGTGCAAATAAATCATTCCCTATAAATATAAAAATAATAATGTAATATACGATTTTATATTTGAAGAATATTGAACATGAAAAAAATATTTTGTTTACTTTTTAAAAACTTTTTCAGTTCGAGTTAGTCGATATTTGCTTGTATTGTTGTGTGTGTGTTGCTGTGTTGTTGTTGCTGTATTGCGTTGTTGTGTGTAACTTTATGCGACAGTCCTTAGTGGTGTTATCAAGATGAACGGCGATTCGACTAGCTACGACTACATGGATTTCGATTGTAATATCAGCTGGGTTGAAGATCAAACCAACGATGAAGAACCTGGACCGTCCGGATTGCAAAATAAAATAATTAATAGATATTAAGTCCACGGATATATTTATTTCCGTGGAGTTCCAACAAATATTCATAGAACAGAAAGTTCACTTGGTTTTTGTAGTTCTTAAAAAGGCCTAAGATACAATACCCCGTCAAAAATTGTGGAAGGCTCTCGAACGGCTATATGTCGATCGAGTAAAAATAATTAAAGAACTGTATAATAACAATATCTCACTCATAAAAGTAGGATATCGACTCTCTGAACCTATAATAACAAAAAGGTCTTAGACAGGGTTGCAGCCTCTCCCTTTTACTGTTCAATACCTATGTAGAAGTCGCGCTGGAACAATGGAAAAGACAATGTGAGCCTGTGTGCATTCCTATAGGCGCACAAACATTATTTACATTAAATTTTGCTGACAACCAGGTGGTGCTTGCGCAAGATGCTTTTCACCTTGAATATATGATGAGAAGGCTCTAAATACAATATGAGAAGAGGGTTCTACAAGTAGTCTTAAAAAAACAGAATATCTAGTAGCCAATAGTGAAGCGGCCTTTGAAGTTCTGATTACGGATGAAACTCGGGTCACACAGGTCGACACCTTTAAATATTTAGGGTCAATCGTAACTAAATAGCACACTGGAGAAAACGAGATTAAACTCCACTTTCAAACTGGCAAAAGAATGGGGGGATGTTTGAATTCATTATGGTGGGATTAGTATCTCTTTCTTAAAACCAAAAAGAAAGGCTGGGACAAATATTGGTTGAATCTGTGGTGTGCTATGGTTGTGAAGTATGAGCTCTAACAGCTGAAATAAAACGGAGACTTGTAGCAGTCGAAATGGACTATCTCAGAAGGATCTCAGAGATCAGACATCGAATGAATGCTCCAGAGGCAATTAGAGATAGAGTAAAATCAGAGGTCTGAAGTGGTTTGGCCATCTATTAAGAATGCCGGAAGATCGATGGCCAAAACGCCTCTTTCAAAAATACTTCAAAAAGTTTAGCCGAATAATTTATCCTACTTTTAAACTCGTGTAAACCAAAGTCTGATATTTCCAACACCCAACGGCTATCAATTAAACAGTTGCTTGATCTCAAATTTCCGTGTGATATAATTTCACTATCGTGCAAATAAATCATTCCCTATAAGTATAAAAATAATAATGTAATATACGATTTTATATTTGAAGAATATTGAACATGAAAAAAATATCTTGTTTACTTTTTAAAAACTTTTTCAGTTTGACTTGGTCGATAGTTGCTTGTGTTGTGTGTGTGTTGCTGTGTTGTTGTTGCTGTATTGTGTTGTTGTGTGTAACTTTATGTGACAGTTTTTAGTGATGTTATCAAGATGAACGGCGATTCGACTAGCTACGACTACATGGATTTCGATTGTAATATCAGCTGGGTTGAAGATCAAACCAACGACGAAGAACCTGGACCGTCCGGATTGCAAAATAAAATAATTAATAGATATTAAGTCCACGGATATATTTATTTCCGTGGAGTTCCAACAAATATTCATAGAACAGAAAGTTCACTTGGTTTTTGTAGATCTTAAAAAGGCCTAAGATACAATACCACGTCAAAAATTGTGGAAGGCTTTCGAACGGCTATATGTGGATCTAGTAAAAATAATTAAAGAACTGTATAATAACAATATCTCACTCATAAAAGTAGGATATCGCCTCTCTGAACCTATAATAACCAAAAAGGGTCTTAGACAGGGTTGCAGCCTCTCCCTTTTACTGTTCAATACCTATGTAGAAGTCGCGCTAGAAGAATGGAAAAGACAATGTGAGTCTATGGGCATTCCTATAGGTGCACAAAAATTATTTACATTAAATTTTGCTGGCGACCAGGTGGTGCTTGCGCAGGATGCTTTTCACCTTGAATATATGATGAGAAGACTCTAAATATAATATGAGAAGTGGGTTCTACAAGTAGTCTTAAAAAACAGAATATCTAGTAGCCAATAGTGAAGCGGCCTTTGAAGTTCTGATTACGGATGAAACTCAGGTCACACAGGTCGACAACTTTAAATATTTAGGGTCAATCGTAACTAAACAGCACACTGGAGAGAACGAGATTAAACTCCACATTCAAACTGGCAAAAGAATGGGGGGATGTTTGAATTCATTATGGTGGGATTAGTATATCTTTCTTAAAACCAAAAAGAAAGGCTGGGACAAATATTGGTTGAATCTGTGGTGTGCTATGGTTGTCAAGTATGGGCTCTAACAGCTGAAATAAAACGGAGACTTGCAGCAGTCGAAATGGACTATCTCAGAAGGAACTCAGAGATCAGACATCGAATGAATGCTCCAGAGGCAATTATAGATAGAGTAAAATCAGAGGTCTGAAATGGTTTGGCCATCTATTAAGAATGCCGGAAGATCGATGGCCAAAACGCCTCTTTCAAAAATACTTCAAAAAGTTTAGCCGAATAATTTTTCCTACTATTAAACTCGTGTAAACCAAAGTCTGATATTTCCAACACCCAACGGCTATCAATTAAACATTTGCTTGATCTCAAATTTCCGTGGGATATAATTTCACTGTCGTGCAAATAAATCATTCCCTATAAGTATAAAAATAATAATGTAATATACGATTTTATATTTGAAGAATATTGAACATGAAAAAAATATTTTGTTTACTTTTTAAAAACTTTTTTCAGTTCGAGTTAGTCGATAGTTGCTTGTGTTGTTGTGTGTGTGTTGCTGTGTTGTTGTTGCTGTATTGTGTTGTTGTGTGTAACTTTATGCGACAGTCCTTAGTGGTGTTATCAAGATGAACAGCGATTCGACTAGCTACGACTACATGGATTTCGATTGTAATATCAGCTGGGTTGAAGATCAAACCAACAATGAAGAAGCTGGACCTTCCGGATTGCAAAATAAAATAATTAATATATATTAAGTCCACGGATATTTGTTTCCGTGGACTTCCAACAAATATTCATAGAACAGAAAGTTCACTTGGCTTTTGTAGATCTTAAAAAGGCCTAAGATACAATACCCCGTCAAAAATTGTGGAAGGCTCTCGAACGGCTATATGTCGATCTAGTAAAAATAATTAAAGAACTGTATAATAACAATATCTCACTCATAAAAGTAGGATATCGAATCTCTGAACCTATAATAACAAAAAGGTCTTAGACAGGGTTGCAGCCTCTCCCTTTTACTGTTCAATACCTATGTAGAAGTCGCGCTGGAAGAATGGAAAAGACAATGTGAGCCTATGTGCATTCCTATAGGCGCACAAAAATTATTTACATTAAATTTTGCTGACAACCAGGTGGTGCTTGCGCAAGATGCTTTTCACCTTGAATATATGATGAGAAGGCTCTAAATACAATATGAGAAGAGGGTTCTACAAGTAGTCTTAAAAAACAGAATATCTAGTAGCCAATAGTGAAGCGGCCTTTGAAGTTCTGATTACGGATGAAACTCGGGTCACACAGGTCGACACCTTTAAATATTTAGGGTCAATCGTAACTAAATAGCACACTGGAGAAAACGAGATTAAACTCCACTTTCAAACTGGCAAAAGAATGGGGGGATGTTTGAATTCATTATGGTGGGATTAGTAACTCTTTCTTAAAACCAAAAAGAAAGGCTGGGACAAATATTGGTTGAATCTGTGGTGTGCTATGGTTGTGAAGTATGAGCTCTAACAGCTGAAATAAAACGGAGACTTGTAGCAGTCGAAATGGACTATCTCAGAAGGATCTCAGAGATCAGACGTCGAATGAATGCTCCAGAGGCAATTAGAGATAGAGTAAAATCAGAGGTCTGAAGTGGTTTGGCCATCTATTAAGAATGCCGGAAAATCGATGGCCAAAACGCCTCTTTCAAAAATACTTCAAAAAGTTTAGCCGAATAATTTTTCCTACTTTTAATCTCGTGTAAACCAAAGTCTGATATTTCCAACACCCAACGGCTATCAATTAAACATTTGCTTGATCTCAAATTTCCGTGGGATATAATTTCACTGTCGTGCAAATAAATCATTCCCTATAAGTATAAAAATAATAATGTAATATACGATTTTATATTTGAAGAATATTGAACATGAAAAAAATATTTTGTTTACTTTTTAAAAACTTTTTCAGTTCGAGTTAGTCGATAGTTGCTTGTGTTGTTGTGTGTGTGTTGCTGTGTTGTTGTTGCTGTATTGTGTTGTTGTGTGTAACTTTATGCGACAGTCCTTAGTGGTGTTATCAAGATGAACGGCGATTCGACTAGCTACGACTACATGGATTTCGATTGTAATATCAGCTGGGTTGAAGATCAAACCAACAATGAAGAACCTGGACCGTCCGGATTGCAAAATAAAATAATTAATAGATATTAAGTCCACGGATATTTGTTTCCGTGGACTTCCAACAAATATTCATAGAACAGAAAGTTCACTTGGCTTTTGTAGATCTTAAAAAGGCCTAAGATACAATACCCCGTCAAAAATTGTGGAAGGCTCTCGAACGGCTATATCTCGATCTAGTAAAAATAATTAAAGAACTGTATAATAACAATATCCAACTCATAAAAGTAGGATATCGACTCTCTGAACCTATAATAACCAAACAGGTCTTAGACAGGATTGCAGCCTCTCCCTTTTACTGTTCAATACCTATGTAGAAGTCGCGCTGGAAGAATGGAAAAGACAATTTGAGCCTATGTGCATTTCTATAGGTGCACAAAAATTATTTACATTAAATTTTGCTGACAACCAGGTGGTGCTTGCGCCAGATGCTTTTCACCTTGAATATATGATGAGAAGACTCTAAATACAATATGAGAAGTGGGTTCTACAAGTAGTCTTAAAAAACAGAATATCTAGTAGCCAATAGTGAAGCGGCCTTTGAAGTTCTGATTACGGATGAAACTCGGGTCACACAGGTCGACAACTTTAAATATTTAGGGTCAATCGTAACTAAACAGCACACTGGAGAGAACGAGATTAAACTCCACATTCAAACTGGCAAAAGAATGGGGGGATGTTTGAATTCATTATGGTGGGATTAGTATCTCTTCCTTAAAACCAAAAAGAAAGGCTGGGACAAATATTGGTTGAATCTGTGGTGTGCTGTGGTTGTGAAGTATGAGCTCTAACAGCTGAAATAAAACGGAGACTTGTAGCAGTCGAAATGGACTATCTCAGAAGGATCTCAAAGATCAGACATCGAATGAATGCTCCAGAGGCAATTATAGATAGAGTAAAATCAGAGGTCTGAAGTGGTTTGGCCATCTATTAAGAATGCCGAAAGATCGATGGCCAAAACGTCTCTTTCATTGGAGACCTCCACAAAGAAGAAGGGCGAGATAGACAAAGAAGGTCGTGGAATAACAAAATCAGACAAGCGATGGCATCCAGAGAGCTGGAAGAACTGGATGCATTTGATAGAGAGGTCTGACGAAGGCGAACGGGAAAGCAGCAGTAGCTTGTATAGTTGATTAATAGACAACCAAAGTCTAATTAAATTTCGTATATATATACTCGTATGACTAATCTTACTGTAGGTTTGCCCAATAATTTCATTCTTCTTTTTTGTTATAGTCCCCACGATAACATCTTTTGTTTATACTCGTATATATAAGGAAGTCCATATCATCAAGTAATGGAATTATAAGAAGACAATAATCTTTACCTAACGGTACTTGGGGGTTCTGTCTATGCCTGTAACTCTGAATGTTATAAATTTACTGCACGTTTTTACGAAGGAACAGTCAAAGCAGTGGGTTTCTCAGGGCGAGTCAAAGCCAAAGAAAGCCAAGGTGGGTCTGTCTGCCAACAAGGTCATGGCCACAGTTTTTTGGGATGCGCACGGTATTATTCATATCGATTACCTTGAAAAGGGCAAAACGATCACCGGCGAATATTACTCAAAGCTGTTGGACCGATTCGACGCCGATTTGAATCAAAAACGACCGCATTTAGCGAAGAAGAGTTCTTCCACCAGGACAACGCACCGGCGCGGCGCATAAATCTGCAGTCGCAATGGCAAAACTGTATGAATTGCGTTACGAATTGGTTCCTCACCCGCCATATTCCCCAGATTTGGTGCCCAGCGACTATTATCTGTTTCCAGACTTAAAAATATGGTTCGGTGGTAAGAGATTTGAGTCGAATGGGGAGGT